AATTCTTCCTTATGTCCAACCTGAACGTCCCCTGGGGCAGCTTGAGGCTGTGTCCTCTCCTATCACTTGCTGCCTGGGAGAAGAGGCCGACCCCCACCTGACTACAACCTCCTGTCAGGGAGTTGTAGAGAGTGATAAGATACTTCGGAACAGAGCTCTCCATGCTGTTTCAATTCTTTTCATCAAAATTGAAGGTTTGGCTGTTAATTTAAAATGTTCTGTAGAAGGAATGTGAAAAATAACAAACACCAAGACACTGACGAGACATTTTAACTTGGTAATCTCTAGCTTGTTGCTCATCCCCTTACATACCTTCCTCACTGACTGTCACAATAAAAAACGATGCTGTACGCAAAAATTTATCACTGTGCTCTAAAACTATGTGCAGGATGAAATTTTAAAAATTAAACCCCGAAATTTAAAAGAAAAGAAAAAAAGAGGAGCATTAGTCAGATGACATGGTAGCTGTCTTGGTATCTTGTATGTTGACAGTTAACTCACATCAATCGAGGATTTAATGTCATGACTGTTTAATGCCTAATGCTCAGTTTCAAAAGGAAATAAGTTTGGACAAAGTTCTTATATTTCTGATTTTGATCCATACATCCTCAAAAGTAATATAAGCATTTAAGAAAGCCATTTAATTACTCAGATTCTGAATTCTCACACCAAATGGTGAAAAAAATAAAACTGATTGGGAGGGAGAGGATTTGGAAGGAAAAAAACCTCAATGCTAATGCCTAAACCCAAGACTTCTGTGGTTAGAGAATTTTCTCCAGATGTTGTTGCTAAGCTTCACCAAGAACTACAAATTAGTTTATTTAACAAATATTTCATTAAAGAAACCAATAAAGCACACAAGTCTCTGTATTTTTAAATAACATTTATCAAGTCTGAATGAAATTCAGCCTTTCATCAGGTGCTTACTGTTAGAATAGGTTTATAAATCACTCTTTGGTGCTCTACCAGAAAGGATACAGCATTTTTGAGACACTCCTTGTTCTTAATAGAAAAAATGGCAAATGTGTTTCATCATTCCCCTTCCTGTAGGCAAATGCATGCATTTTACATAGGTAGAAGTAGAGCAATTTTGTAGAATATGACCTCTATACTGCAGAGATTCCGTCTACCTTAACACAGTAGGTATAACTGAGAGGGCCGTAAGAGATGTTGTTTGCTGCCTAGGAATTATGGTATTCCTGTGTATTGCTTTTTGCCAGCTTTACACAGCAGCAGGCAGGAGTGCTGAGTATATTCCTCATGTGACAGGGACCTGCAGTCTATGTAGAGAGGAAAAAGATTGTCTCATACCCTTCTAGGAGTTCCGCCATAAACTCTTCAGTGCCAAAGATACTGTCAGAAATCAGAAACCCTGAAGGAGATAATAAAATGGCTTGTGTGGAGACAAGTAGTAATGTATTTTTGGAAAAAAAAGAAAGCAAGCATGGGTTTTTTTGTTTTGTTATAGTCAACAATAGTGTATGTATAACTATGCCAATCTACAATAAACCTAATACTAATGGAGTAGTCAGGAAAAGACGTGGCGCTCTGTCAAAGGAGGACAGAGTTTGATATTAAAAATCCATTTAAATATTGCATTAGTATTCAGGCCACCCTCAGAAGAAGATTTAGCAGAAAGAGCACCCCAAAGCGACAATGAAACTGATTAGAAGTGTGAAAAATTTTCTGTTTAAAGGAGGAGAAAAGATTAAGTATTTTTGACTAGTGGTGTGATAAGTCAAGGGAGACAGAAGGGAATCAAAAATTAGAAACCCAGTCCAGCTAAAGCAGAACCACTGGGAAGCTTTCATTAATTTCAGCAAAAGTTGGAGTATGCCCTCTGTCAGCTACTCCTGGTTGTTCTTTCACAGTGTAGCAAAAGAGAAGATTCTGGATGAAATGCACAGTGGAATGATGTGTGCCATCAGAAGCACAGTGTATCTGCTGCACTCCCTACCACTGGACACTGACACAAGGGACCCACAGGAAAAGAAGGGTGACTTTAACACTTCTCTCAGGTACAAGAGCACATACAGGCACTGCTCCTGACTGAGAGCAGAAGAAGGTGGTGCTCAGAGGTGGTTAATGCTCAGATGAGACTACCCCCCATGCCATGACAGGACAACATGGGGCAGAGATTAACAGGCTGCCCCTCTTTCCAGAACCAAAACCTGGCTCAGCAGTTCCTCTGCTGCAGCAAAGAGAACCCAGGCTCTTTTGGAGATGCTCATAAGTTGGTCAGCTTGATACATGCTGGAAATCACGTAGAAGACTTATTGTTCCTTATGTTGTGCCAGTTAGGATCTGGAGTTCAACAAGAGACATCTTTAGCATGTGTATAAGATATTCTGTTAATTGTTTTCAAGTGATTTCTCTAGAGGTAGTCTAGAGGTAAAGAGGTTTAAATGCTTGTCCTAAGAATGTGCCTTTTCCTCTATTAAGTTTCCTCTAGTGCTCTATGTGTGATAATTACTGTTTCTAAACTGCTAATTAAGCTTCTGGAGACAGAGATGCCTGATTATAGTGAGTTTCAAAACACTAGTGCACTGGGAGCAGGGTTTTCTCCATGAACTGTGCCTGAAGATTAGCACTTGAGGGCTTGTACACTTAACATGATGTTACCAATCCTGCATGCTTTTGAAAACCATCTTTCAATACACTTTTCTGATAAGAGATGACTTGGCCATCATACGGTGCTGAAACAGTTTTATAAGGAGTCTCATTGTGGCTAGGACCTTAGCTCTAATCTTTTATTGTTCTTTGCTGTGAATTACTCTTCCTTTAAAACCTCCTTCTGAGAACACTAAATAGTTTTTGGTCCCAGGAGGACCTCAGCACAGCAGAAGCAGATGACACTGCCCTGACATTATTCTCCCTATTTTCAGTTTTCTACAAATGTGTTCCATGATGCTGAGAACAGTGGAAAGGGGACAGAGTAGGAGAGAGTTCGAGTACATCTTCCAGCAGATTTCTTCATCTTCAGAGCACACGGTAGAGCTGGAATGATGGGCACAGCTGGGGATACACTTCCTCTTCTGGGTGTCCTTCTTACTTGGGCAGGGAGCTGTCGCAGAGCAGCCCCTTGGGTGGTCTGTGACAACCCACAACAGGCTCTCTTACTCCAGCTCACCCGTGGGCATGGGTTAAAGGCTGATAACCCAATGCCAGAAGATGAATTTTGTGACTTCCCCCTACACACACCCTCCTCTCTTCCAAGAAAAATCCACAGGAGGAAGAAGATAAAGCCTTGAATTGAAAGTTTTTCATGGATTGTTTTCAACATTAATATGAAGATGTAATTCGCCTTGTCGGCTGGACCTTTCAATTGTGTATTCTAAGGACAGTACTTGGGAAGTAATGATTAGGGTTGTGAAATGTTAGAGAGGTTCAAAGGACTTGTCCCCTGTGGACAGAAAAAAAATAAAACTACAGAAGGTCCATAAGGTTGTTAAATGCAAATTGTTATGGAATTCAAGCGCACTGGTTTACAACTATGGGGCAATTTTACCCACATTTTTGGAAAATAACTGAAATGTGACTTGCCAAGACAGCTGTGAAGGGGAGGGGACTGCAGGGGAAGGAATCAACAACAAAACCTGAAGAACACAAAATAAATACCAACAAAAGGCTAATGGTGATCAAGAATGATTATTTAAAACCAAAAACCTGGAGATGTCAGAGTTTCTGGGAGTTATCTTCAGATCTGAGACTCCTTTATCTGCTAAATTCTTTACCTTTATTACCAATACTATCTATTGGCAAAACTGTATAATTTTTCAAGCTTTTTTCCAGAGACAACTGTGGCCTGTGACCAGACGAAGACACGGGCAGCAGATGCAAATCCTTTTAAATAAAAGTTCCCCACCTGGTACGAATTTTACTCTCAGCAGTTAACATAAAACCGAAATTTCCTTTTATACATTTAACTTGGCCTGTTGCATAAACTAAGGAATACACACTGCAGGGTAGTTAAAAACATGTAAAGTTGTTTTTCTTTGTTGACAGGCAAGTTCTGGCAGATATTTGAAAAAACACTGCGTTGATAAACAAAACAACCAGCTTTCAAGTGATTTGGCTTGGTGGTTTGGGGTTTTGTTGTTATCATTACAGAATAGCTAAATCTGGAAAAAAAATTCATTTATGTCTCTGTGTGAGCCTTCCCCTGTGAGCTGCCAGCAGCAGGAAGCCCTTTATGAGCAGAAACACCTGTGGATGTTTCTCATTTTTGTGTGCATACTTCAGCCTTCCAAAGGGCATTCCTCGACCTGCAGCTCTTCGTGCAAAGTCAGAGACGAACCCTTTTGTTTTGTGAGACCGCGGGGTAAACATTTCGGCCTCTGGGGCCCCGTCTGTGGGAATTCTCACACGGGGTGAGTTACGGCGGCACTTAAGCGGCTATGAAAAATTACTCTTGAAAAACACTTCAGAGTATTGTTCTGGCGTGGTGATGGGAAATGCTTACTGCTGGGCAGCACGGACAAGGTGTGTGGGTTTTGTGCCAGAAGCAGGACCACGGGCACGGCCGGTAGCCCCTCCACCAGCGTGCCCCATCCCCACACCGCTCCTCGCTCGCCTTTACGAACAAATTATGTCTTCGATCCCAGCCCACAAACGATCACAGTTTCAGTCGCAGTTCAAAAACTACCCCGAGGACCCCCCTCGAACACGGCGGGAGCGGGACGGGCGCTGCCTTTCGCAGCACTCCGCTGTCCCCGCGCCGGCCGAGCCGGGGCCGAGCCGGACAAAGGCGGCGGGAGGCGGGGAAGCGAGAGGGGCCGCGCCGCGACGGGGCGGCCCCGCCGTCGCCACCAGGGCGCTGCCGGGCCGTCCCGGGGGCGGCTGCGGGGGGCAGCGGGCCCGGCCCGGTCCCTGCCCGGTCCCCGCGGCGCCGCCCGCCACCCTCCCCGGCCCGCCCCCGCGACGGGGCGGGCGGCGGCTCCGCGCCCGCCGCCGGCATGGAGAGAGCGGGGCGGCGCGGCCGGACCGAGGGGCGCCCCTCCCGGGGGGTGCTGCTGCCCCCCGGCCTCCTCCTCCTCCTTGTCCTCCTCCTCCTCCTGGCAGGTCAGCGGGGCCGGGGGGCGCGGGCAGCGGGTGCGAGCGTGGCCGGGAGGGCGGCGGGGGCTGGAGGTTTAGGGCAGACACGGGGGCTTTTCCTCGTCGGCGATGGAATTGGCAGCCGGAGTTGGAAGGGGTTCCTCGGGGTGTCCCAGCAGAGCAGTCCCGGGCATGGTGTGCTGTGCGTGAGTCCCGCTGGGGCTGCAGGGAGGATAAACCTCGAGAAGGGACGACGGAGAGGGGACCTCATGAATTGTGTATAAATACGTAAAGGGAGCGTGCCAAGAGGATGGAGCGCAGGTTCTGCTCGGTGGTGCCGAGTAATAGGACCAGAGGCAACGGGCAGAAACTGATGCCCAGGAAGTTCCACCTGAACATGACGAAGAACTTCTTTACTGTGCAGTGACCCAGCACTGGAACAGATTACCTAGAGAGGCATCTCCCTCACTGGAGATATTCCAGAACCATCTGGATTCAATCCTGTGCCATGTGCTTGAGCAGGGAGGTTGGACCAGATGGATCCAACTGGGGTCCCTTCCAAGCTGACCCGTTCTGTGATGCTGTGAACCCACACCCTGCAGGAGAGACCTGTGAGGTGCCCGGCAGGGTGAAGGCACCTCAGTACCGCCAGGGCTGGAGTCAGGAGGTGCTCTCCAGGCACAGCCGGAGACACGAGCTTGTCCCAAAGAAAGGGTAGCAGTACAAAAGCCTGGAGCCACTGGCATGGGGCATCCCATGAGGGCAGCTGTGCCAAAGCCTTGTGGCAGTCACCCTGCTTGCTGCTCCCTCATACCAGGGCTCTCCCAGAGAGGGGTGTTGCACTGGCTGCCCCGATTCACTTGCTGGGGTGGTTGGCAGAATGGTGGGTCATTGTTCCATTTTTTCATGCATTGCTTTAATAACGGGGTAATCGCACAGGTTTAGGGCAGAGCTGCACAGGCTGACCCACGTGCTGTGTTGCACAGCCCTCTCCAGCCCTCACCATCCCTCACCCTCACTTGGTACTTGTTTTCAAGCATGAGCAGGTTCAGAGAGCTGACCTGCTAAAATCTCATGAGCAAGCTTCAGGCTGTGAGATGGACCAGCAGTACAGTCAGTGAGCAGAGGAGCCTCGGTGCGAGGTGGGAACTCACACCCAGAGGTGGGGCAGGAATAGGAGCACAGCAGCAGCTGGGATGAGGGGGAGTTGCCTGGATGCCAGCACACTAAAAGTTGGGCCAGCACAGATGAAAGCCAGTAACAGCAGTGGAAGAGTGGGAACCTTGCAGCATGAGCTGCTGCCTGGGGAACAGGAGCCACAGCACACTGGGAATGCAGAAGCATAGTTTGCCATCTTCGTTTTCAGGTCTCTGTCATGTCAGTGTGTGACCAAATAGGTCACCAAGGGTGATGGTGTCCAGGACAGGGAGTCTGTTTGGATTGATCCAGGCAGCAACTGAGGTCTTTAGAGCGGGGAAGGAGAACCAGCGATGAGATGTGGGAAGTGTGAGATCCCCAAGGATGTTCTTACAGTGCAGTGGCAATACACAAAAGACTGTGTGGTGTTATTTACTTGGGGAGACCTGACTTAGGGCTTTGAAAACACTGAGTCACGACAGCACAAGAGGTCAATACCTTTAAAATAGCTTCTCAACAGCAGTAACAAGATACATGTTCTTCCATGCTTCTTAATTGCAAAGAGCTCTCTTACTGTTGTTTCACAGTTTGTTTTGTTCCTCAGTCCAGCAGAGTGTCACTGCTGGAAACACTCGTGGCCCCAGCTGGGCAGGACAGTCTTTGGCAGTGGGGCAGAGAGGGCACCACTGGCCTCTGTGCTGGGCACTGCCACACTGACCATGGCCCTGGGGCTGGAGCAGAGCCAGGGGAGCTGGTGCCAGCTGGCAGGGAGTGAGGGAGCCCCAGGCAGTCTAATTTGCACGCCTGGCTGGGGCTGGGCAAGAACAGAGGGGGGATGTAGCCTGTTCTCAGGCACCTTCCTTCTCCTCCCTTGCCACCCTGCAGGTCAGCAAGACAGGCAGGCAGGACTCCTTGATGGAATGGAAAAACTTGATCTGTGGTGTCTTAACATTTCAAAATGCTCTTTTTTTATTTTAAGGGATTAAGTATAAGAAGGAACTGATGAGGCCAGCTACAAAATACCCATACACAAAGCACCTAACTCGGAAATGCAGAACGAGTGGGAATGGGCTGCCATTAGGATTACAGGGTCAGGTTGCACCTCGAGTGAAGTCCTGTGATTGTATAAAACTGTTAGAATCCATTTTCTTTAAAGTTGTGCTGTACAGCATTTTATTGTTGCTGCTGTTTGACCTCATGAGTGTTATTTTTATTCAGCAGAAGATTGTCTGGCTCAGTGTGATAATGACTGCAAAGCTTACTGCTGTGATGGGACTACTCCCTACTGCTGTTCATATTATGCCTACATTGGGAATGTCCTTTCGTAAGTATATTTGCGCTTCAGAAGAAAAACCCAGTGTGTTGTATTCATGGGCTCAATGTAAATTTGGGTTGTGGGAAACTATGTTTTGGCAGTAAACACTAGCAGGGTTTGGGTTTTTTGGTTTTAGTTTGGTTTGTTTTTTTTTTTCCTTGCTGGTAACAAACATTGGTGTTCCTTTGAAGTCTCATATTGCATGTTTTTGAAGCAAACCAGAGAGCTTGCTAAAATTGGGGGTTCTGTCCTTAGTTTGTGTATAATAACATAATTTGTGCAAGTAAGCTTTAGAGATAGTGAGATCCTTGTTTCAAGCTCTTGAGATAAAAAGACTTGTGAATAAAAATTTTGTGGGTTTTGTTGAAATGCTTTGTCACAATATCTGAGTCAGTAGTGATTCAAATTATTTGGATTTGAAATTAATTTTGCTTTGAATACTTTTTTCCCCCTTCTCTTTTTTATTGACTTATTTGTTTTTGTTAAGCGGTTTTTGAGTGTCGGTGGAATTTATTGAACAGATTGTAGGTGAGGGTAATCTGACCCTTTAACACTGTGGTATGAATAGCATGCTTCACAGTGCTTTAAAAAACACAGCAGGTGAAATGAAGTGGTTACGAGTATTTTCTATCTAGAGAAAAAATATAGGAGAAAACTGTTGATTAAAAACACAGGCTGCAGTGCAGCTGTTTGTCTTTGCAGTGGTGAGGAAGAAGAGAAACTTGCCTGCTGGAGCATTGACTCTGGCCTTAATTTAAGTGACAACCCATAAGTATTACATTCATGTGCAAGAGCAAACCTAAGCTAAACACAAAATGTTGTTCTTCAAGATAGGACATCTCACTTTCTGTTTAGTCAATCCCACCAGTAATTTCCTTAACCTTTAGCATGCAGTCTGTGGCTTTTTTTTGGTTTATGTTCTTGACTAAAACCAGAAAACTTAAAAAAGGCATGGCATAGAGACTGCCTGGTGCTTGGGGGGGAGTGAGTGGGAAGGCGATAGTTGCTTTTTTCTAAAAAGGTTCCTCTGATGCAGGTTTTGTTTCAGCCGTGGTACCTGGGGAATATTCCAGTGTTCCCTTCAGCATATTTTATAGCACTTTGAAGGAGTAGGCAGAGTGATGGTATTTTAATACAGAATTGATCCACAGTTTTTAAAGCAGATCAGATGCTTCCTGGGCTAAAGTAAATAAAATTTGTTAGAGCACCAGAATCCTTCATTCATCTGGAAATGAAAAAGCATGTACTTTAAATTGATTACTACTGGAGAATGACAAGTGATTTTTTTCCCTGCTTACCTAGGGAATGCCTGCTTTGATATTTTTTTTCTTTGTTTTTATTCCAAAATTGCTGTTCCATTTACAAGCATCAAAGGAGGTGCTCTTCTTGAATACCTTATTCTAGCTCGCATGTGGTTAGAAATGATGGACACAAGAGCACAGGATATCACATTATAAGAAGGAGGCTTCCCACAGAGCAAGTGAATTTCATCTCCCACTTCCACATGAACATTGCTGGCATTTTCTAGCTAATGTCAGAACTGTGCTTTGTTAGGGATCGACCGGGGGTTCTTTAGAGTGACTGCTGAAATGTTCAAACCGTGCCCTCAGTGCCAGGTTGACACCTAGTCTTTTTGTGTGTTTATTTAACACATGTAAACAGCCTATTGAATTAGAGGTGAGTGCCAGTGGCTCTGACACACTGGAGGGGTTTGTGTGTATCTGGATGGGTTTGAATACTGAAGGGGGCTCTTACAAGTGTTGTTTGCCACAGTGTGTCTTGAAGGAGGCATTCAATTCTTCTAATTTTTTATGGTTAAGTACTCCAATTTATACACTAAGAGAACAGTCAGGAGTCATTATACTCCTCTGACCTGACATTTCGCATGATTAAGTCACAGATATTCTTTTTTCCTAAAAGCTGATTTGGGTGTGTCTTCTTTAAACATGTGTAATCTCATTTTGGAAACTTCAGGCATTAATGAGTTGACCATCTGTCCTGGTAAACTGTTCTATAGTTCATTTCCTAACATTGCTGGGAAATTTTACTGGGAAATGAAGGTTGGAATTCCTACTGTCAGCTCTTAACTTAACTTATCTGCGAGTTTGAAATGTGGCCCTAAATAGTCATCATGACAGCTCTCAACCTTATCACTGAGCCGGGTGAACTCTGTCAGCCTCACATGTAAGATTTGCTTTGTTTTGCTTTGCCCAGCTCAGGGGTCAATTCTTTAGCCTTCCTTTGAGCTCCCTCTCCTATATTCACTTCCTTCTTTAAGTGTGGCTGGCAGGACTGAGCACAGAGTTTTGACAGAAGCCTTGCTAGGACTATTTTTTCCTGTACCTTTCTTTGAGTACCTATTTTGAAGCAGCTATCTGTGATGATCACTGAAGACATAAATGAACTTAGCACTTTGTTCCAGCTCTAAGTCTGTAAGTCTTCAAAGCATGTCTGCCTCTTTCAGCCTGCAAACTGTTCTTTGCTGGGTCTACTACCTTGGATTTGGCTGCTTTGCAGAAGATTTTATTGTGACTTTAGCTATGCTCCATAAGAATAACCTTCTCTTTTCATTATTGGGCACTGTATTGCTTTGTGGCGGGTTTTTTTTATGTGCAAGAAGTTTCATGTTGCCTCAATCTCAAATGACAAACTCATGAAATTGCACTAGAATTTGGAAATGGTCATTAGCGACCTTTCTGCTTATGTCTTTCTGTTAACAATTGTGTATTGAAATCTTTAAAAGAATTGAATTTAATCCAACACACTATGTGTCCTGATAATTCCACATAAAGCTGTTCTTTCGATTTCCTTCGTGTCCTTCAATATCATAATTTTTGATCCTGCTGTCTGCACCAAACAATGGACATGATCTGCACGGGTGCTTTCAAAAGTGCCTTTTTACTGCCTGAACCACCATGAGGAGTCCTCAGTGTTGTCTTCTCTCTGCTTCTTCAGAGGTTGCTTATGCTTCTTCATTTGCTTACCTGTAATGTCTGTGCTCTCTGTATTCTTTATAAATCTGCGTGTCTTTCTGATGTTCCTGCTCTTTATCTTCTCTGAGATGGTTTTTTTTGCAAGCATAACTCTTTCTTGCAGTTTTGGAAAAGCCTTTTGATGTGCAGTAGAGTCTTTTTAAACAATTCTGTTTTGTTTCATGCCTCTCACTCTTCTCTTTTTAGGCCCATATGCCAGCAATTGTAAAAACAGACTATAAACACCAGGCAATAATCTATACACTGATTTTAAAACAAAGTCAATGTGACTAGATCATGATTATTAATACTTAAATTGCTTGTAGCCTGCAAGTGATTAACTTACTCTCTTCACTCATTAAAACAAGTTTCAACATTGAGATATTCTACAGAGAGATTTAGAATTTTCTATTTTAAGAAATCATCAGCTTTTTAGGACACTAGGGAATTTTTTTTTAGTTAGAAGATGTTCTCAGCAAACATCCTTCAGGCTGTGTGCATGTGTGATTAGCCTGTTTTCCTTTCCACACTTGAAGAACAGATGCAGATTTGTCAGCTCACTCTAGTATTTGGATTTCAGGGCCTGTGCGAGATGTTCCAGTAACTCCATCTTTAGCTGGACTACAGGTATAATCTGTAAGCATTCAAGGTCTGTGATTGAGTCACCTGTAATCCCACGAGCATCTCTAATGTAAAATAACACATCCTTCCTCCTCCTCTCTTCCTTCATGAGAGCAAGTTGTTACAGTATTAATGTTGCAATTGTATTTCCTTTCCTACTAGTTTTCAGTAGCTACAGCCAGTCATAATTTCCTCTGATATATGTATATATATATGTGCATTTCCTCCTGTTTATTTGCTTGGCATCCAATGCTTAATAGTTAGCCCTTCTAAAAACCCCAGGGCTCCTCAGAGGTGGGTGTCAGCACGAAAGGAGTTTCTTCTGCCGGACCCAAATTTGAGTGTGTGTTTCTGCCAGTGCATTTTGTATTTGCTTCCAAGAGGCTCCAAATTATCTGGCCCCCATGCTTATCCTGGTGGATTTCCTGTGGGCTAATTCCCAGCTAAGTCTTCTCCACCACTTTGTGCCTGATGTTTATTGTGACACACAGGTAGCTTTTGACACACAGGTGGCTCTTTGGGCAGAGATGTCAATAGTTGCATGTTGTCAGGGCTGGTTTTGGATGTTGTCTTTGCTCTTCAACAGCACTTCACAGCCACACAGCTGGTGTGAAATAATCCTAGATAAAAAAATGGAGCAAAGAGGACAAATAATCCAGCTGCTATTTCAATCAAATGCTGCTGGGCCCGCTGAATGTTCAGTGGCAATGAAAGGACTTACACACAGATTTGGCCCACCAAATTTAAGAAAACCATTGGTAAAATATTCAGCCCTAGTGATTGGTCTGTATTTCCCTGGGTAAGTCTTTAAGGGGAGTAAAGTGGAATATTGGCTTAAGCCAAAGAAGAAAGCTAAGATGCTACATTACATTGCAAAGTTTCTTAATACACTCTGTCTTCAGAAATGTCTTACTCTAAGGCAACTTTTATTTAGAAAAACAACACAAAAGAAAACTAAACACCTGATTCCAAGAACTTCAAAAGTAATTGGAGGAAAATGTAAATAAAAACTTTAGAGAACTGTGATCTCATTACAGGTAGTGACATGGTGATTTGCAAGAGGGTAGGTGGAAAAAGCAGAGATACTGATGATGCAACAACCTGTTTAGTGAAATAGCAGATGTTGTTTACATGAACTTAATGTATGTTGGAGGGAGTGAGTTTTTTGGGTGGGTTTGGGGTTGTTTGGGATTTTTTAAGTCTAGAAATTGCACAATGCAGCCAGGAAGGAAGGAAGGCAGACAGAGAATGGGAGGAAAAGAGGCAGAGAATACATTCAGCATAAAAATTGTGTGTGTGCCTCAGCCTGCAAAACTGAAGCAAAAGCTGTGTGTAGTGTATCTAAGTGTGGCATTTGATGTGAAGTACTTTTATCCAGTAGTACCTTTGATAAAACAGCTCACCTCAGAGAAAGCG